CCCAAAAGCAGCTCCAGACCAGCTTTTGGTGCTCATTTTCGATAAATTATGCACACTTATGCACACTTATGCATGAACATGCAGCTGCGCGCACCTCTGAATACATCTGTCTGCGGCCCAGCACGCATTTTTGTATTGACATTAGCATATCTCTGATCTTGAGAATCTAACTCATTTGGGGGGAGAACGTAATTCATTTGGGGGTGTTCAAGCTCAAATTGATAACACCAAGGTGCATTAAAACAATAATGAAACCCCCTACTCCGCACGGCCAAATTTTCGACCGAAAGCTTCCTGTCACGTGATGCGTGGCACCTCCCAAATTTTCTGAGGCTGCTGGCCGCACATGGTGCAGCAAGAGCAGATTCACGATTTCTAATCCACGACGATGAGCATCAAGCTGTATGCATGGTGTCTGGGATAACTTCTTCGTTTGATGGTCTCACGTCGCTCATTCACCACTGTGCACACATCCCCACAGGCTTGACAACCGCCCGTTCATCAGCTCGCTGCGAGCTGATCAGACCCACCTGCACCTTCACTTTAGCGTCCAGAACACAGAGCACAGGCTCTCAACCTTCACTCCGTTTGCTTCGCCTCGATCAAATCGGACTTTGCCGTCCATCCAAAGCCCTTCAACCCATCCAAAGCTTCTAGCGGAGATAACCTTTCGACAATGTCGCACGCTCAGTCAGACGATGTTATATGGTCTTTGATCGGTCATGGCTTTTGCTCTTTCAAGCTCTCCTCTCCCAGCATCAAGACGCATCAGACCTTTTGCAGGAACGCGTACAACTTGACCGGGTGTGAGTGCGCGGAAAAGGTCCGGAACGTTAATGCTCGCGGCTTGGGAGAACAGCGGGGCTGATGCAGTTGCTCTTCTATTCACATTGGATGCTCTCAGGGTGCAATCGACAATCTTGTCCGCTGGCCAATGCGCGATATGCTACAGTGCGCGACGTCGAAGGTACAGTGTACCTCTACATCAAGACTCCTGAAAGAGCTCACGCTCCCTCAAAATTGTGGGAAAGAGTCAAGCTGTCCAACAACATTGAAAAGGCCATGAAACAGATCGACGAAGAGCTGCCCTTTTGGAACAATTTTGTCATCCACAAAGCCAAGCAGAGGTGGATGAAGATCAAGCAGTACAGGGATAAGATGAGGAGCTTGGCAAAGGTTGCTGATGAGCAGTGAGTCTTCGAGCAATGCCGCTCTTTCTGCGAGCCCTATCTGCACGGCCGACAATTGAAGAGTTGCTTCGACTTTCTTCTTGCCAGACCCAAGCTGGTGGGAATCAAGAAAAAGACGGAAAGGCGAGAGGCGAACCGAGAGAACAAGGCGATGCGGGCTGCGAAATTAGAGAAGTCCATCGAGGCGGAGCTTTTGAGCAGGTTGAAATCGGGCTTGTATGGAGAGGCACCACTGAACGTCAATGAGGACATTTGGAGGCGAGTGATAGAGGAGAAGGCCGAGAAAGAAGGTTTGCAAATCGAGAGGGAGGAAGAGCTTTTGGATGAGCAGGACGAAGAGGACGAGTGGGACATGGATAGTGAGGATGAGCTGGAAGAAGAGGAAGACTTTGATGGGGTTGGGGATCGGGAATTTGTGGAGGATGAAGATTCGGATGATGAGCTGGACGACTTGGAAGAGATTGACGAGGAGGAGGGTGAAGACGAGGTGAGCATAAGGATGAGCGCGTGAGGCTTGCCGAAACGCATTTCTGATACGGCGGAGTCTGCCTCACCTTTCTTCGTCAGGATGCCGAGTCTGGCGCTTCTTCTGAGGATCTCGAATCGGACCTCTCAGACTCTGCTTCGGAGTCAGTAGACACCGCAGCCGACCCGAAAGCAGGTCGCAAACGGCCGGCTTCGGACGTACCGCCTAAGAAAACGTTGGACAAGAGAGTGAGAGCTGCCCCTCCTCGTGCAAAACTGCCCAAGAAGCCAGCCCCAAAGAAAGGCAAGAAAGGCTCAGGCGGAGCTCCCAATCTGGAGGTGGAATACGAGCAAGAGACCGTCCCGCTTTCGAAAGAGTCCATCGACAATTGGTAGTCACATATTTGCGAGCTCTTACACAGAGAAGTCTCTCCCGTCCCGTGGTTCGGAGCAAGACAGACTGATCGAGAGCTTTGGCAGGTCGCATCTCGCCTGCCATCCGCAGCCCATCATTTGCCATCTCAGAGCGTTCAAGACGGCCGGGAGTGTACAATATATCGATTGCAAACGATGGAAGCTACAGGTTGCCGTGCGGTGTGGGACAAAGAAGGGGCGATTTCAGCACGCTCGCTGCAGGGAGAGTCTCAGCAGATCCACCAGGTCAGTGCCTCTATTCTCTCCTGACCCCTTCTCGGCAAGGACGCCCCTGCTTGTCTCGATTGCGCTCTGCACGCCCCTGGTAAGCGTGAGATCCCGCTTGACTGGGCCAGCCGCGTCTCCTGGATCTGAAGCGCGCGAAGCTTCGCGCTGGTTGGCTTCCACCAGCTGAGCAGCTGCCAACGTCAAAGTCTGCTCGAGAGCGGTGCTCAAATGCACGACGCGCTCCTTTTCGGGCGCTTTGGTGGAACGCAACTTGTCCGTCAAGAACGATGCCAGGTCGATCAGCGTGCCGATCGAGGTGGGCGCTGCAGGTGCTGTGCGGGAGTTCTTTGAGAACGCGAGCGAGCGAGAAAGACGCTTGTCAGCGAGGCAAGAGAGAATTATGAAAACACGGTCACACGCACCATTGCAATGACAGAAGTGTCCGACATCAGCAAGGGCTGCGATCCGACAAGTGTGGACATCGCGCGACTCCACAAAACCAGAGCTGCGACAGCCGAGGTAGCAATGCTCTCGAGCAACTGCGAGACGTAATTCGAAGTCTGCTCAGACCTTGTGTTCCGAGAGCCGGCCGATGGTTGGCTTTGCGTCTCGCCTTGGTCATTAGTGGCGGTTTGACTGCCTTCCACAAGACTGAGCGTCTCTTTGGGATGCTGTAGCAGGTAGACCACTTGTTGTATCAGACCCCCCGTGGCGTTTGCAAGGACAGCGACTAAATGCGCTGAGCTCGACTCGTGGGAGGACATGCCTCGCCTCCGATGCCGTGCTGCATTGTGGGCTGAGACGATGACGAGGAAGAGCTGCACCGTTGCCTCTACTTCTTCGATGAGCGGTATGCTAACTCCATCATCACCACCTTGGAGCGCAGTGTGAGTTGAGGCGAAGCCTGAGGCTGCAGTCAAAGGCTTAAAGGCCAAGGTTGAAAGCACCTGACGGCCGTAAATCCGCACGAAAGGCTCCACTTCGTTTGCAACGAAATGCAGGCTCGCGTCGTCCCAGGTACTCTCGTCGGCTGATGTGCCGGCAAGGCTTCTTGCCAGACCTGACACTAGCCGGAGCATCTCCAACCACACTACATGTGCTGGATTATGTGCGTGTGGGAAAGATAGAGGGCGGACGCTGCCATGTTCCAGCTGTGCAGACAGCGCATTTGAGCTCAGCGCTGCCATGACGCCTCCGAGAGCCAGAGTTTCAGCCCCCGTCATGCGCAGTGCAAGGGTGGCAAAGAAGTGGAGGAGAGAGGGCATGAATCGCACCTCAGGAGAAATATGGCTAGTCTCCCCGGCTTCGATCTCGTCATTTGGAATCGATCGCCAATGAGCGCGCCTGAGCAGGTCGCAGCAGCTTGTGAGCAGGCCGGTAGATTGGAAGTGGAGCGACCAGAACTGAGGCTCTATGGCAAAGTCGTCACGAAGAAGCAGTGAGAGTGTGGTGCTGATGATGCTCACATCGGTCTCCACGCTGTCCAGCAACAAGTCAGAGTCCGCCGAATGAAGCGCAACGCCGCGATCGGCAGCCACGCGCAGCGCCAGGATGGTGTGCGTGGCGAAGACGTCGACGACACGATGCAGGTGCGCCTGCACCAATCGTGGAGCGTCCCGCTCGTCAATGTCGTCGAAGGCTGCGCTTCTTCCTCGAGAACGGCGCAACGAAGCACGTTTGCCGGCTGCCGCGCCCATTGCCGGAGCCTTCAGCAGCTGTCTAAATTGTTCGGTGCAGATGAGAACGATGGTGAAAACATCTTGGTGAAAGGGCGTGGCGAACATGCCCGCCACGCTGTCCTCCACTTTGAAAGCCTCGCTAGTAAGGACTTGGCATGCCAGCTGCGAGACCTTGACCACATCTGCGGGAGACCCAACTTGACCTGATGACTTCTCTCGATCGATACTGCCAGATTTCAGACCCCATGCTACCTGCAACAGACCAGCAAGGAAAGCAACCCTGTGACTGTGAACACCGCGCAGAGCGGCGGCGCTGCGATCCTCTTCTGCAGTGATAGTTGCACACCGTATCCACGCTGAGAGCAGGTTCTGCTGTAATTCGCGAGCTCGTGTGGATTTGAGAATTTCTGATCCGACTTGGCCTATGCTCAAGCGTAGAAGTGAGGTCCATCCTCGCAGCACTGCAACCTGGGAGTCGATGAGGCTCCAGTCTGCGTTGATGCGAGCTAAAGCCAGGAAGGCGTCCGTTTGCCACCCGGCTGGCAAGCCGTCAGAGGTGACGCTCTCATCTTCATTCGCGATCTTATCCGTGGGCACGATGCCTTCCAACTTGTCACAGAGATTCAGCGCATCATACACGTAGGTGTCCCCAAATGGTCGTGACTCGTCAAAATCGTCCAAGCGAGCCGGACGACGCATGGTGGAGAGCTTGATGGCAGGTAGGGTCTGGTATAAGTGGTCTTGCTCGACTAGACCGTGCTCAGTTGCGTCGCATTGCACGTTGACAGCGTGCAGCAATATGTCGATCAGGAGCTTCGGCTTTTCGAACAGCTCCAAGAACACTTGTTCGCTAGCTCTGCTCGGCGACTTTCCTGCTTCGTGATTTCGCTTGAAGAAAAGCGCGAGCTGGACCGTCAGCTGCATATCTTCGCACAGCAGGCTAAGTGCCCGGGCTATGCACATCTGCTGTCGACCATACGTGTTTACATCCTCATCGGCTTCAGTCTGATAGTAATTGTCGTTCCTCGAGCACGAGTCTGGCAAAGGAGGAGCTTCGATATTGTGATCGGAGATGAGTGCAACCAGTGACGTCCATAACTCTTTTCTGGAGCGGATCTTGTCAAAGAGATGAGGATGCTCCATTGCGTGCGACCACGCGTGGTGTGCAAAGCGCAAGATGGACTCGAGAAGAGCTGGTTGGGTCTCGACAGGAGCCGTCCTCTTGATCAAGATATCTTGAGCTACTAGCAAGATGCTCCCCTTTCCTGATCCTTCTGTGGCTTGTCGATCCGTGTCGCTACTTGGCAATGTGCTAAGAGCTTGGCCTCTCGACCCCTGCAAGGCATGCCCGCTGAGGACAAGCTGCGCCAAAGCAGGCTGCGAGTCGACAAAGGACGCCAGCATCGTCCAAATTGCTGAGCGCAGATCAGGATCCACTGCTTCGTTTGCCACTAAATCGCGAAGTCTCCCCAAAGTCAATTCGATCTCCTTTGGTGAGCCGAAATGCGCACTGAGTGAAGGCACGTGTTGATGCCGCTTGCTCGATTCCTGTGATGACACCACATCCTTGGAAGACCCGCACAGAGCAGTGATCAGCTGAGCCCCTTTGATGCTCAAGCTCGGTATACTTGAGAAGAGCGCATAGCTAAGTACAGCTGCAGCGAGCTCCACGCCAGCCTGCGTTGCTCGCCTTGTGCGACCTCGCCACGCGACGGGCGTGTGCTCATAGAAGAGGGATTCGACTATGCCGAGACGTACGCCTTGGTTTCCATACACTTCGGCTTTGCCGAAAGCTTGAATTTGCCTCTTGCGATGTACAATGATGTGCGTCAATTGGAGCACAGACTCGACCAGGCGCAGTGCCCCTTCAGCCTCGTGATAACGTCCTGAAGCATACAGACCCTGTAGTAGCTGGTCTCCGCCACCCAATACAGTAGCAATGGGTGCAACCAGCGACTTGTTGACACCGAGCACGAGCGCACGCTCCAGTGCGCCGCATAGAGCGCTGGCTGAGCTGTTCCCAATTGTCAGAGGGCTCATTGCGACATCATTGAGGGCGCTTCGGAGGAAATGCGTGATGCGATGACCGACTTCTACTTGAGTCCTCGCCGAGGCAAATGGCAGAGTTTGATATTCAACCCAAATGCTTTCCAGCATCCAAGCCGTAGCCCTGAGAAGGACCTCGCTCTTGACCTGCATGAGTTCAGGAGTGCTGGAGAATTGAGAGCGCTGCATTTCGATCAGCAGGCCAGCATGCAAGTCGAGGAGAGCAATTAGTGCAGGGTATTGGCCCCGCGAACTTTCTTCTTGCAGGATCCTGGAGGGCGGGACGCCTGACGTGCTAAGATCCGTGTTGATGCCATTTTGATACTGCGCGGGTAAGAAGCCGGGTGAGCCGGTCAAGAGATTTGACGAGCGCAGAGCGACAAAGACATCTGCAGCGCGAGAAGGTATGAGAAGCGTCAGAAGCTTCAGAGCGCTGACCACGACGCGCGAGATGATCGGGCGTTGCGCGACGGCTTGTTCTAAGATACGCAGGGTGACCTGCATCAGGTCGACGAAAGGCGCATGATGATCAGAGGCAAGCCCATCATCGGATTGGCCCTGCTCGAGGTGTTGCAAAAGCTCTTCTCGGACGGTCTCGCTGCCAGAGAAGACAGCGGCAAACAAGTCGAGGACGTCGGCGACACACTCCACGCGCGAGGCAGCGTCTTCACCTGGCGCTAGCGCGTCGAAGTCGAGCGCCGGCGAGGTTTCGTCTGTAGTGAACACGTCGTCGACGGCCTGTGACCTCTTCGTCTGATTCGAAGACTTGGTTGGAGCTGCAAGCAGGCCGGCAAAGCTGGCCAGGCAATCTGCAAGAATCAGCCAGGCGCTGATAGGATCTGCAGATTCCCAGACGACGAGTACGTCAGTGCCAGCATCTGAGACGACCGTGCCAACCGTGCTTGGCCTGATGCTCTTCCAACCAAAGAAAGGCATCAGGCGCGTCGTTCGGTAAGCCGCTGCATCCGGTACCGAGGTGCTGATGAGCTCATAGGGCGCGCTCACTCCCATTCGCGGCAAAGCTTGAGCAACGCTTGGCAGGCTCGCCAGAAAACGATACACTGCGAGAATACATCGCTCCGACGTGTCCCTCGAGGAATCAACGAATGTCGGAATGGCCTGAATTGAACATGCACCCGTCAGAGCAGTCGCAAGGCGCACTAGAGGTCGGAAGCTGACTGGCCATCGGCGGACCGCGAGTTCCAGCAACGCTCTCCTGTCTTCGTGATTAAAGTCTTCCGACCAGAACTGATCGCACAAGCTGGCAATCCCTGGCATGGACTCTGCGCTCTCCTCCGCGATCGCACCGGATCCAAACGTGGTCTCCCAAAGGCCGATGAGCCCATCCAAATTTTCAATGAATGAAGCGCGCACAAGCTCCGTGACGCTGAGCAAGAGACCTTTGAACACGGCTCGATGTGCCAAAGAAGCTGATGCTGGTACTGCTAGTACGGTCGCAGCGCTCTTCGAGCTCGCCGTAGTGATCAGAGCAGAGGTGACGATGGCGTGCATTTCGGAGAAGAGACCAGAAGCAGGACTAAGAGCGACAGATGCCAGCCTTTGCCACAAGCTAGTGTCGCCTGTGTCAGGAGGGGCAATCTCGTCCTGAAGCCTCTGCAAGTGCGGCGGTAATCGATCATGTGGTTTGACGTGGAACCACTGCTCAAATTTCGCCTCTACCTTCTGAAGGACGAGGGACCATGCGAGCAGCAAGGGAGAGAAGCATGGCTCATCCGCAAGCAGCTCGAGGGTGTCGATGGCTTTGTGCACGTCTTGCGGAGATGCGAGCAGAGAGCGCTCATCCAGCCAGTTGGAACCTCGCTCCACGTCGATAGCTCTCACATCCTCCAGAGAGACCTCGCCGTCCATGTGGGACTCCAGATCGAGGCTCTCGACCGCCACTAGAATCAAGAGATGAGAGACCGCGGCGTGGATCTCTGTCCCCTCCTTGTCCAGATGCTCGAGCCCAACTAGTATGCGACCAGCACTCGTGGTTCGCACCGTATCTAGAATCCTGAGGACGGCCGCCGCTGTGGATGGAAGGCGCAAGTAGTATAGAAAGAAGAGAGATTCGAGTAACCCAAGTTGCTCCCTTAGTCGCTGCTTGACCCACGCAGCTTCATCTCCTCTCGCTCCCCGAACTGACTCCGGCAGTGGTCGCTGCGCGTTTACATCGAAGGAGCTGAGAATGTGCAGAGCGAGCTCCGGCGTCGCTATTTCTTGTACTAGGTCGCTGACCAGATCGTGGTGCTGATGCGAAGGGTCGTCGGCAATCCGGAGCAGGATAGGAATGAGCCGTAAGATGCAAAGGCGCTCTTCAAAATAGAACGCGGTCAAGCCCGCAACGAGGACGAGGCGGAGCTCATCTTGGTGCTTCGTGCGTTGCTGAGCTGCATATGATCCTCGAGAATCCTGAGCGCCTGCCGAAGGTGATCTGACGAGATCCTCCAGCGAAGACTCTTCGCTCTCTAAATATAGCCATACCAGGGGCGCTGTGTCGGTCGCGTCAATTGCATGTAGTTTGCTAAAGTCGTTCACGAGGAGTCTGACCTCTGCTCTGACCTCGGCGGACCTTCCATTCCACAGGTCGAGCGCCTTGGATGAGTCAGTGAGTTCATGTTCGAGGCGCGATGGCTGGGTGAAAGGGCGACCGCATGACTTGAGTTGAGGCGCCCGATCTCGCAGTGCTTGGGCGAGTTGCTCAGGAGAGAGGCGATGCGCGGACAACTCCAAGTGGTCGTGGAGCTCGCGGAAGCTAATGGGCTGTTTGAGAGCATCTGCGGATGAGGCGGAGTTCATCGAGATCCTCGAAGGCCCTGCCTCGACCGGCATCTTGAGAGGGGCCTGCAGATTTTTGTGATGTCAAAGAAGAGCATTATCCACTGGAGCGAGTCGACGTAAAATACTCACCGGCGCACGAGGAGCAAACTCCAGAGAAGGGAGCACGCACGGGAGAGCGAGCTTGCCTTGAGGGATTGAGCCTGTGGCGCAATCAGAAGCGACCTCGCGGAGCGACTCGATATGGCCGCATGATATGTGCGAGGGATGTGTGAATGGTGAGGAGCAAGGCAACACGAGCATGTGTGTGGGTGGTGTGAGTTGTGCGCTGCGTGCATACAACGCGAAGATCTTCTCCACGCGTCGCCGCTGCCCTAGCGCGTGACGCTACGCACCACACACTCTTGACTCTTGACTCCGGCTGCATGGGTACCGGTCAGCAGGTGAATTGCAGAAGGTGATCGTCGCCTTCGTTCGCGACGCTCACACACGAGACCCTTGGTTGAATAGCTGATCTACCGCCGCATCTGCATATTAAATACTGAGTTATCCTCACTGATCACATCTTGACCGCCTCGCCGAACAGCTTAGCCGCCATGTCCGCCAACGGGAGCAGCACATCCACATCCCTCTGGATCATCAACAAGGCAGGAGGCCTGATCTACCAATCCTTTGCCACGAACGAGGACGCGCCGAAGCTCTCCGCTAATGAAGCCCTGATTCTAGCTGGTACTTTGCATGGCATTCACGCGATCACTGCTCGAATCAACCCCACTGCTCTGCCCGACACTGGCCTGACAAACTTGTCCGCTGGCGGCTACGAGCTCAATTTGCTCGTCACTCCAACAGGTGAGTTGAGAGCTCTGCATCAAGCTTGAACACTCGTGACCTTACGTCAACCCACTTTCCCCGGTTCCTGCTCGACCTCAGGGATCAAGTTCATCCTGCTTCACCCGCCCTTCTTATCGCCTCAAGCAGCCCAACTCGCACTCCGAGCAGCTTACGAAGCGTATGCGGACCTAGTGATGAAGAATCCCTTCTACACAGCCGAAATGCCCATTCGTGGCATTAGCGCATTCGATGAGAAGATCAAGAGCATCACAAGTGTCTGAGCAGTCTCTACGAATGGGACACAAGAAGCATCAGTCGCGAGGCGCTCTGCTCACTACGACTTCCGCAGGTCTCACACATCGAAGAGAGCTCGCGTACATATCTTGACTCTACCAGACGAAAACCCCAGCACTGGTCTTCAAGCGACAGAACGTCTTATATGCACGATCACAGCATGAGCGACGAATGAGTGAGATAGGCGCTTCTTCTCGAGCTGGGGCTTTCGAGGAGCAGCTCTCCAGAAAGACACCGCAGCGGACCATTGTCAATCGCTTCCAGCTCGGCTGGTCAGTAATCGCAAAGCAGCAGCATAGGACCCCTTCAGTTTGTGGCGCAACCGCATCCAGGCCCCTTCGCGGTAAAGGGGAGAGACGGCCTCGGAGGAAGCGCAACGTTGAGCCCAGCAAGTACTTTGCGCGGCGTTGCAGAGCTTCAGTCAGACATCTCGCAAGGATGATGAATGAAGGCGACGGTGGGCATCGCAGGCTCAAGACCCAGAGCCCCATCAGCCTGACTGGCTGCGGTCACTCCACATCCACGCGATGGCAACAATCCGTTTCTCTTCATGCATGCAATTATCAAGGCCTACTCTACAGATTGACAAGGATTGATGGCCCGACTCGCCTCTCGCGTTTGCAAGCTGGCGTGCGGTCTAGACGGTAAGAGCGCCGCTGCCAATGCCGATGCCCGCCACAGACAATAACGTCTCACGAGTGCGCATCAGGGATTTTCCAAGCTGGTTGCGCCCAAGCCCTTGGGCTGTGGAGCCTTCGGGTGCTCCGGAGCCCCAAAAGGCGTCGCTAGGGTTCGCTTCCACCAGCTCTGCCTCCCCTGTCTGCACAAGCAGCTCACGCAAGCTCGAATGCTGTGTGAATTTGAGCAGCAGCGTTTCTCGCATCTGGATGGTGACAAGGAGGAGGAGCAGCATGAACATTGGTGAACATGTGTTGAAAGTTTCCGGTCGCTTTCCAGACGACTGCACTCACCACGGCGACATTGATGCCCTGTCTGATCCAGCCCTTGCGAGCGTCCGCTACATTTGCTCGAGCAATCAGCATGGCGTCCGAGGGAGAGCCAGCTTTGCGCACTCTTGTCGCGATATCCGGTCGGTGAGGCAGGAATTTGAGTGATTGGAACAAGTGCTCTGGGAAAAGGTGGCAGCGATTGCATCGTCAGAAAGGGCCCACGATGGCGCAGTCTGAATTCAGACTCAGGCGCTCATTATGGCCCGCATTTGTCCAACTATAGACCCACGCATGTGGTCGGTCACTGCGACTCACCAGCCGTCTTGTAAGTGATCCCATCCCTGACCACCGGGTGCGGACTCGAGTTGCTGAGCCACCAGTGTGCGCCAGACTTGGTGAAGAATTCCACACGTTCGACACTTTCCGTCTGTGCCGCTTCTGCAGGCGGGCTCGCATTGTGATTCACGCTGTGCGGCTTGTCGCCACTCGCGTCCGCCAACGCTACGCCATCAGATTCATGCTTAGAATCGTCCTGGTTTGACCTTGGGTCCGCCCGTTCTGAGATCAGTGTGGCATCCCTGTCCCGCGCAGTACGCGTCGGTTGCTGCGAGATACTAGCCCCCTCGTGATTCGCGAGATCGTGCTTGTGAGAGTGGGCTTGCTTAGCATCCGCAGCTCCGGGATCTGGCAGACTTGCCAAGCTTGCTGCGACCACACCTCCAGCTGCAGGCGCAGCAGGCTCTGATTGAATGGCCTGCTCGGTCGTTGGACCCTTTTCAGGAACGTCCGCAATGGTCTCGCCAACATCCTCGACGGCATCCACTGCTTTTTTCTTGAACAGCTTCAGCGAGCGAATCGTTGCATGTGGCATGTTGAATGGAGCGGAATGTGTGCGATTCAAAGCGGAGGTAGACTGGGGTTTGGCTGGACGTAACTATGCTCAAAGATGATGGTTGGTCGGGTGAACAGAACAGATTGCCGACGCTTCCTCCGATCGCTCGGGGCAAGTCTCGCTTCCAGCTGGGCCGCAGGGTAGTGTGGACAGTTGTGCCTGACGCCAATAGCGAGGAAGCTTCCAAGACGATGGCAAGACAGGCGACGTCGGCGCACGCTGTAGTGAAGCAGCAAGAGCAAAGGGTTCGCCTCTGTCCTCGAAAGCAGCCAGCAGAAGAGAAGACTGCGCTGAGGTGCCGTTTCGAGAAGTTGATGACAATGATGCTGCTGCTGTTATGGCGTGCTAATTTAGAATTCCGAGATCACGGCTATAACATTGATGGATGATGTGGCGCCAATGGTGGATTCGTGGTTGTGATTGTGAGCATTCGATCAGCGTGGGCACATGTCTCCACTGCTTCTGGGATTTTCGACACTGTGACTGCTGGTTGCAAACCATCGGGAGCGGCAACGGCTGCTCATCGCAGGCCGCCAGCTGAGGAGCGCCGCCATTCTTGATTGTTTTTTTGATCTTCAAAGGGTCTTCCGGTGGAGACCTCAACGCTAGAAGGCAGCAAGTAGGCATGAGTGTGGCAGACGGCCTAGCGACTGTCGGAAGACTCCTTGCGGTGTCATGTTGTATGCACCGAGCACGCCATACTTGCCTCGCGGAAGAAGACACCGCATACATACAATCACGAACTAAGCGAGACTGTTACCGGTAGGTATACATTACAGTATATACTGTAGCATGCAGATGACGGCCGCGTCTCGGTTGGGCCGCGGCCGCGTGCTTGCATGCTCATCATGCGATGCCAACACGTGATAGCTCACGACTCTTGACTGTACTCAAGACTTTGACAGCGTCATTCTTTCATGCAAGATTCAAATTGTTGACAGGACCGATGTCTTCTGAACAGCACATGTACACGGCTTGAGAATCGAAATGTCACCCCAACTCTCGACACCATCGCATGTTTGTGATGATGGTGCATCGTTTGCTCGTTCCCACACCGCGAACTGTGCGATCTAGGCTTGCGATGAAGAAACAACGTCAAGCCAGACCATCCTATTCAAGAATGACGACGACTGGTGCCTAGTCTCAAAAGGGTCACTACTAGCACTTTGGCCTTCCTTCTGACTCCCTCGAGCTAAAGCCTTTGCTCGATCACATTCCAAGATCGGAATCCAACCAAAGGGGGTTGATAAGTCTGTGGACTGCGGGATGTGCCCCCGTTCGAAGTTGATAAGCTCTCACCTCACGACTCGCCAAACCGTTCTCTTCGCGGGCCACTTCGTGTCCGGGATGATCGCTGTGTAACGCTTCGATCCTAAATCTTGATCTACCGTTCAAGATCGAAGCGCCATCCTTGTGCTCGCAGATATCGGCCCAGCAGGGCGTCTACTGTATACGAAAACAAAGTTATTGCAGCTGTTGTTGTGTGTGCGTGCGAGGGCCGCATAGGTGAGTCTTGGGCGCGTTCAGCCTCAGCCACGGTGGCCCGCAGAGAGCGCGCCGAGCTGCAGCTTGGCGTCAAGACGCTAGCCGCCCCCACTGCCAAGACGGCTCCCAAGGTTCTTCGCTCGTAGGACACCACGTACGCAGGGACAGAACGAACCACAAGTTTGGATCGTGAATGCGAGTCACGAGTCACGAGTTGTGAGTATAAGAGGCGATCGCCAACGCGTGTGACTTTGTTAACCCATAAGATCCATCTCCACTCGCACCTCCTCTCTGTTCGATCTCGCACTGCCTGCCATTCCCAAGGAACGCCGGTCGTTCCGCACATCTCCCTCGTCACCTTGGCACCCCGTCACTTCGCACCTCTGGTCTGGCACCGGTCATCAGCACATCGCGCCAAATCGCCAAAAGTACCTACATCCATTCCGCTCCCCATTCACGTTCATTATGCGCTTCAACTCAGCTACATTTTCTTTCTGTGCCGCGGCAGCCCTGTTGGGCGGCGCATTTGCTGCTTCGAATTATGCCGGATCAGCACCGGTGAGTGTCAGCGCACGGCAAAGCCTGACGCTGCGCAGCAAATTCACAGCGTATCGGACCTCGCGGACCGCATCAGCTGACCAGAGCCAGCTTGACGCCATCTTCGCCTCGCCCTTCAGAATAGCAACATCGACGTGCTCCTATCGAGGTCTGGCGGTGCAATCGCAAAGCTAGAAATGCGTTCCTCTTCTTCATTCGCCTCTTCCGGTGGAGGATTCCCCTGGGGCTCAGACAAAGGAATCGTCTCGAACACCGAATCGCACTCTACCAGCATCGGAGATTCGACCATTACGTCCAGTAGCACGTCCAATACCTCCGACGACGACGACGACAGGTCCTCCGCTTGCAAGGACGACGGGAGCGTCATGAAGACGGGCAACGCGGTCATTTCCTCGTGCAACGGCAAGGATAGCATGACCGTTGGCGGTGTCACCATCTCAGACACCGACAACGACGACGCTGATGAGAAAGACAAGAAAGGTGACCATAAGAACGACGCGTCTGCGCAGACTCAGTCCACCTTGCTAGCTCTGGTCGCCGTCGCAGTCCCCATCATCGCCTTTGCATAGACGTTTCGCTCTTCTTTCTCCTCACCGCCACTTCATGATTTGGCACAGTGCGACATAACAATGACATGTCGCAGTCCAGTGATGTGTTGGCAGATATTCCTGGTCGAGCATGCGAAAGGGGATGGGTGAATTTGGTTATTGATACAAAGCGCGGCGAGCCTCCGGCGCAGGATTGCTAGTGCGAGAAGCCCATCTGAGATTCTCGTGCTCGATCCTTGTTGAGCTTTGACTCCAACTTGGCGAATTCGTCCAATGCAATCTCCTCTTCCTGGTCGAGCACCTGATATCGACAAGATCGTTTCAGTAACGTGCAGGTCAGGCTACAGGGGCAGCGCAACAATCGCTTCACTGACCTGCTCAACTGCTTCGACCTCTGGAATGTAGTGCTTGAGCATACGCTCGATTCCGGTCTGTAGACGCAAGACGAAGTAAGCACGCTGACGCTTTCGTGACGATGGGATATTCTGTGCGCACTCACTTTCAAGGTAACTGCACTGCTGGAGCAGCCTCTGCACGAGCCTTTCAATTTCAAACGCACAATTCGATCGCCGTCCTCATCGAAGCCCCTGTACTCGATATCCCCGCCGTCCTCCTGTATTGCGGGTCGAACCCGAGTGTCCAAAAGCTCCTTGATCATAGCAACCGTCTCGCTGTCCGTGTCCAAGATGATCGTGTCTGAAGAGCCCTGAGCAGATTCAGGATCCAAAAAGAGGTCTCTGCCCGCTGTAAAATGCTCCATGATGGTGCTGTAGATCTCGGGCTTCAGTGTTGACCACTGAGTCTCGCTGTCTTTAGAGACGGTGACAAAGTCGGGACCGAAGAATACTGTCTTGACTCCATTCAATCCGAAAAGCGTCTTTGCAAGCGGAGATGTCCTGTGCAAAAGAAAGGGCGTCACCAATCAGCATCCGAGCTTCCGCGCAGCCGGTTCGTGCACAGGGGGCGAAGACTCACATGGAAGAGCGGGTGTCTGTGAATTCGGCCGTGCCGCTCTGCATCACTTGTTGGCCGGGCAAGAACTTGAGAGAGTCCTCATTGGGAGTGGACTCCGTCTGAATGAACATCGACCGGGCTGTGTGCAAGTAGCATGGAGCAGTGGGCGGTAGAAAGCTCGTTAGCTACGAGTTGTCGTCTCCACCGCTGCTGTTGCCACAAGGAGGCGGAATGGAAACAGAGGCACTCACATTGCTGTCTGCCAAAGATGGCACCTGCAACAGGCACTGTCGGGCGCAAAGATAGCTTCTGAGTATTTGCAGTCGAGGCTGGGCCCAAGCGGCTGCTGTGAGCACCAGGTGTAGAACACGCAAAGCCGCGAACAGAAGAGCCACTCGTGGCGCTTCGAATAGCCTGGGCCGCAAAGGCGGGCCGTTGCACTGATCGCAGCGCTTGCAACGATCGGCTAGACATTGCTTACGGAAACAAGCTTTCTGTCTGATCACTTAGAGGTGGGGCCGAGGTGACTCGACGATCCAACAGACGCTCAAACCAATCTGTGTGGCTTGGAGCTCGATAGCCGCAAGAATGCGAACGACTTGAGTGGCAAGCAATCCGCGCGTGTGAGGACAAACGCAGGATCCAAATGCAGCGCGAGTTGGCAAAGTCAAGGGAGGGGCAATGCCAGCTTCTGAGTGACGAGTGTGACGGCGAGTGTGGTGGATCCAGTAGTTGTGTGCTGGATGCAATCAGGAGTGATCGGAGTCAAAGCGCAAGGCAAAGCTGCTCTGATTTGTCTGCCTCGTCATTGGCGGGCGCGGCTGCTCCACCTCGATGAATCAGAATGCTAAGCAGTTTTGTCGTGCGAGTGATGTAAAGACATCACGTGAGCAAGTGCCACCGGTTTTCCGGCTTCCGGCAAACGCTTTGACCTTTGCAGCCGGTGGGTGCATGCATGGTGAATTGATTGCGCTGCAATCAGCACAGCTACTCAGTGCATGACTGTATGTCAATGACGAATGCTTGGAAGTTGCGAGGGACATGGCCTCACCCTGTATGACAGGTATATTCACGCACGTATATGCAGCAGGAGCTGGTCCGAAACCGAACGATTTTGGATCTGAGACCAAGCAAAGCTCAACTCAAACTCCATATCAAGACGATGACCCGCATTCACCTGCGCTTCGGCCGCATTCGTGATTGAAGTCTGTTCAACTTGAATCGCTTGCCCGACCATCCCATTTGAATTTCAATTGCGATCGAGCGACCTAGTGGTGCGCTGCCGGCCGGCCGGCCTCGCGATACCGTGCAAGTGGTTGTGCTCAGCTCACATCACGAGCAAAAGGAGCATCAGCCATCGTGCAGTCACGAACGAATATACACAGCAAATGCTAGCTTGCTTGAGCCACAAGCAAACAGGTGATTCGACGGCGCTTCGAGCACTTACGCCTGGTCGCAAGTCAGATCTAGAGTCTCGCACTTTACCAGCGAGCTGCTCTTCCCGCTTTGGCCCGAATGTGCGGGGAAATGTCAACATCGCGCAATCAGCAAGAGCAGTCAAGAGGGTAACAGTCGGCACAAGTACATCCACCCACACTCCCGTGGAAGCTACAGCATCCAGCCAGACGATAAGACGAGAATCGCACAGCATCGAGCGGCCAGATCTGCGGACCTCTTTAGCGCGCGTGCGCTGTAGATACGTCTCATCCCCACAGGGTGCAGCTGGAGAGCGCGAGGAGCGAGGAGCGAGGAGCGAGGAAGAATCTCCGAATCAGCGGGCAAATCAAGCACCTTTCGCCGAACACACACAGTGAGAAGCATCGCACCACGCTCTTGCCTCCCTCCCTCCATCTTTGCCACTGGTCCATCCTTCAAAGGCACTTGATTGTGAAAACTCGCCGCGCGCCCTTCATTCTAGAAGCCCGTGATCTCGCATTGCCCAGCCACTCTCACTAGGAGGACCCGCTCCATCTACACCCTCGGCATTGCACGTAGCAACGACCTCGACAACGAGAGTGGAGCACATCCTCTCACACCCGCCTCCGAGCTGAGACCCCGGGCGATGAGCTCTTCGGCTCCGCCACCGTCGGGCGGGTCGAGTGCAGGGTCGTCTAGAGTTTCCGCTGCCAAGGTGGACGCCACGCACCTGGTGCAGACCAAGCTCAAAGTTCCGCACAGATTCACCACTCAATCATTGGACGTGACCGGCATCTTGGCTCAGCATGTCGAATTCCAACAGCTTCCACCTCCCACGGATCCTTCTTACGCTTCGCGCAAAGCAGGGTTGCGGAAAAGACCGCTCGCATTGCTGCTGCATGGCGTCTTGGCACACAAAGACCAGACTTATCACAAGGGACTTGTAGCCAGGCTGCCTATCGACAGCTTCAGATTCGACTTCCGCTCCAATCACGAGACCCCACCTACTGGGGGGCACAATGGAGGCTGGGGCATGGCCAAGTTTGATGTGAGTCGATGGGAGGCATGACATCGGACATAGCTTTGCGTCGTGGCTGATCGACCCGCCAAATTGAACGCTCAAAGGAAGATTTAGATGATATGAGGTCCGTCATCCTTCATCTCAGGGAGAGGTATAACTATCACGTGCACTTGCTCATCGGTCATTCACGAGGTGCTCTGGATGGATTTGCCTACTACTCCAAGTGGGCGGAGGCTATGAGACAAGATCCAGAGGAGCGGATACCTTACTACGTCAGCTTGAGCGCTCGATGGAGAATGCATGTGAGTGTCTGCTGGGACCCATCTGCACATGGGCTGCGCACGACCATAGGAAGAAGTGACATGCTGAAGCAGAGCCTCCTTCGTCGTGCTGTGGTTTCACGCGGCAGCGCATACATGGTGAGTATCGTTTCTTGCGAACCACCTTTGTGCATACTGATCGCTTCATCGCCCTCCACGTCATGCAGATCGAGACAATGTTTACTTGCCAGCGTTTGCGAAGGAGGGAATGTACCGGTGGAATGTGCGCGTGGCAGGCAAGGATGTAGAGGTGCAGATCCGACCTCAAGACGTCGAGCAATTCGCCAATTTCCCAATCGCAGATCACGTCAGGCGCTTTCCGCTCGATTCCGATGCGCTCTTGATACACGGAACAAGCGATACGACAGTGCCCACTGCTGATGTGGCCTACTATGTCAATGAATTGTGAGCTCGAGCAGGTCGCGTCTGATCATCGATCATGCTCACATCGCTTGCTCGTTCGTCAGGTCTGCACCCGGCCGAAGAGCAGGATCGTGCACGCTGTGTGAGTGCATCGACATGGCGTTTTCCTTGGATTTTTAAAGGCTGTGTTTAGCAAAGCGGGTCGTGCTCATGTTTGGCCACCCCTTTCTGGCAGATCTGGTCGAGAATGGCAATCACAACTTCAACAGCCAAAAGGGCTTGTGAGTGACAGAGTGCGCCCGAGCATTGTACTCGCAAGCCGCGCACTCCCTCCGCGAGTGATCGAGAGGCTCAGCGCAACAATTTGAATGCTCTTCCTTTGCAGATACGACGAAGTCATTGAGCGCATCACTACTTGGTATGCCGCACGCACAGGCTCGGGTGCTGATGGCGCCGCCGCGCGGGCTGGCTTTGCATCGGGCGTGTCAGCGGCTTCGACATCAAGCGAGGCGGAGACCGCCGAAGAAGCGCCTGTCCCGACTGACTCTGGCCCTGGAGCAACTACCGAGACGCTTGAGAGCAGCTGGAGGAAAAGCGTCGACGGTGACAATGCTGGCAAGGGCAAGCTATGAAAGAGAGGTTCACCTGCAGCTGCGTTTCTATAAACATACCAACATATTATTACCACGCCTCTTGTGCATTTTCGTTCTTCGCACCTCTATCGCTGCTGCCGCTCGAAGGAACGTCGCTTCACATATACCGGAATCATACATATATCACGCCATGACTCTTTGATCTGAAAATGGTCAAGATCGAGATTCTGGACATAAGCCTGTGGAACCTCACATGCCAGGAGGACGCTGTGGCGGTGGACCAGGCGGCAAAGGAGGTGGGCCAGGTGGGGGAGGCCTGCGTGCAGGCGAGACGCTCGACGTTCTTTCTTGCTCCATACCTTTGCGTCTAGGTGGCGAGCGAGAAGGTGATCTCGAAAGGGAAGAGCTCGCTCTGCGCCTTCTGGTTGGCGGACTTGCAGATCTAGAGTTGGATCTTGCACGCCTGACCTCTGCTCGCCGGGGCTCGGGCGACCGACTTTCGCTGTGACTGTCTGGTGCGCGCCTGCTTGCTGGTGCGCGGTCAGTATTGTAGCGGGGAGGGCTTTCGCTAGGGCCGTTGTACCTGCGTCGCGGTGGAGAGCGATCACGGCCACTGCGTGGTGGTGGAGATCTGTCGCGAGGTGGCGTGGGAGTATAGCTCGGCTCACGACCTCGAAGAGGTGGCGAGATGTCGCGTCTGCGACGAGATGGCGGACTTTTGCTGAAGCTTGGTTCGCGTCTCCTACGAGGCAGCGAATGGCTGCGACTACGTCTCCGACTGGAGCCGTACCGGCGACGAGGACTGGCGCTGAGGCTAGAGTCGCGTCGACGACGACGAGCGGGTGGACTGTCGTCGTCATACCGCGTCGGACGTCTTGTGTCTTCAACGTCTCTACGAGATGCGGTCGGGCGGGGACTTTGGCTGTCGTATCGCACAGCAGGTACACGTCTACCTTGAGGTTCCCGATCAACGTCATCTCGACTGCGCTTCCTGTCCAGCTCATTCTGGAAATCTCGACGATCTTGTTCTTCCTTCTCTCGCGCGGCACGTGCAGCTTTGTATGCAGCCTCCCTCTCTGCGGCCACTCTGACTCTTTCTTCGTCTCTCCGTTTGCGCTCCTCGATGCGCTCTAGCTTGCGTCTCTCTTGGATTTCAGGATTAAAGGCATCACCTTCCCTGTAGTCGGCTGATACGCCGAGCGCTCTCTGGAACTTGGATGACTCTACCTCTTTCGCCGCTTGCAATTTGTGTACGTCAGAGGGGCGCAGCTGCTTGGCTTCGGCTCTGGTGGGCGCTAAAGATAGGTTGCGTAGCAGTGAGTTGCGAAGGTCGGAGACTTGTCTCTCAATGTCTTCCTCTGATAGGCTGAGTGGTTCGCGCAAGTGGATGCAGTAAGCACCTCAATTCGAGGAATGACAGGCGCGCGGACACGTTCTGCTCAGCTTGGACGAACCACCATACCAGCTCGACTTACCCCTTGTCTTCGAGTTCGACCTGCAGCTCCAAGCACTGCAATTCAACTTTTCGCTTGCGCTCGTGTTCTAGAATTCCGGCATCTGGCTTGCGAGAAGGCGCATCTGACCAGTCTCTGTCATCTCGACGCTCGCGTAGACTACGCTCGCGCCCGCTGGATAGAGCCGAGAGGTTCTTCTGTACGTAGCCATTTGTACCGCTGAGAAGCGCGTGAGAAGAGAAAGGTCAGCTTGAAAACTGACATGTGATGATCGCACTCGGCCAGAATACCTCACCTGCCACGAGCCGTCTTGAGCCCAACGCCGTTGTACATTTTGTGGTGGACTGAACGAGCAGTGGATTGGCAGCCTCTCCTATGTGCAAGGTGTCTGTAAGAGGTGATGGAGTGAATCACGAGTGGGTGCTCGATAGCCTTCTAGGAGATGGATTCCTCACTCACTGGCCAGAGGGTTGCTGCAGCTTTCGTGTTTCGTCCCGCATGTGTGATCGCGCGATCGGCGCCAGAGCAGACAATCGTAAATCGAGGATCACGTGATGCTGCCACCCCTCGCCCATTTCGCATGTCGAGAGCACCGCCAACTCATCTGAGTTTTTGTTGTGATAGACATAGGACTCATCGAGACTACTACACGCAAGGCTCTGACTCTGAAAAGGCCGAGCAGCATGACATTTTGAGTCAAACTGCGTATCTTCACCCCTGGCGGCCATAAGCAAAGACAAATAGCGTCTGGCAACTCTGCTCACGTATTCAAGATTGCAATCAAAATCTGGCCAAGAATTCCTACAGTTCATGCCAAGGGAGTGCAAACACCTGAGGAGCTTATTTGCTGGGATCGAAGGCCAAGCATGCGCCCGCCCGAGCTGGCTGATCGATGCCCAAGTCGGCAGCAGCGCAACGCCACGCTCACGACTCAACGATGGAACACTCAGTGACTGATGAGATTGGTCGAATGCCCATGCACGACTCTGCTCTCGCGCTGCATGGAAGTCGCAACAAGCGAAGCGTGAATCACGAAACACCAACGGCGTGGCAAAGTCACCCGCTCGACCTTTGCTGTGGGTCTGGGGTGGACCATGTTCGGCCGCTGACGACCGTACAATCACGAATTTGAATCGTCGGTCTGTTACAATTATTATTCAATATTTGAGTTTGTGTGTGCGTGTTGGCTAAACACAGCCTCTCGACCAAGCCGTGGCTTGATTGCAGCTCGTCGGCCGCTTGCTTTGAGCTCCGTCTTGTCGCCTATACAATCTAGAGTCTGATGATGAATGCGTGCATGCAATCAACAACGAACCGCCAGGGGTGCTCCTCCTTTGAATTTGAATGTCTCCGCTTCACTTTGACTGTACCCCGATGCCCTGGCAAATGCAGAAAAGCCACGAACCACGAACCGGTTGAAGAGCAGCATGTGCGGCAAACGTGCAGCGTCAAATGCGTTGCAAGGTAGATCTCAGCTTAAATGGCACAGGCGCAGTCGTGAGTACTACTACTACTGAAGCGAAGACTCGGCTCGGCCATGCTGGGCATGCATGCATGCATGCATGCAGCAAGCAGGTGATGATGCATGCTTGGTCGTCGCACTGCGGATATGCTGATCGTGACTCTACAATTACGCGCCGTCAACGCTCCTGCGTGGAGGGCCGGGTGCGGCGGTCGCCGGGCTGCGCGGGGCACGTACGGTGTGCATGGTTGCGCGCGCGTTCGGCAGCCTAGAACTTGAAATCTTGAATCTGCAAGGCAAGGCATCGCCTCACGCGCACAGCACAACAGCTACACTGTGACTGTACCTACGAGGCGCGGTCTCGCCTGATTCACGATGCGTAATTGTGAATTCTCTCAAACAAGTGCAAACTTGTGTGCGATTGACCTCCACCGTTTCCACCATCGCTCAACATTTCCTCACCACTTTCAATCAACTCAACTCGCCCTCTCACACCTCTTTGCACATCATGTCGAACAAGGATGTGCGTATTCTCTGTAATCATCGATTTGGGAAAGGGATGTTTCGTGAACGCAGGCGCAGCTGGCTCCAACGCTGCTCTTGCGAGGACAGCTCCTCTGTGACCTCAGCGGGGACAGAGACCGCTGATGTTGGAAAATCAAGCGCAGGGTGCTGGATGCGGGCGATTCGAAGCGCAGCATACAGACCGTGTACAAACTCAGATAGCAGCCGCATAAGATGCTGTTACTGGGCAGCAAGCATAGCACACGGCGTTGGCGCATCATCACGCTGACCTCGCTTTGTTCTCATTGTCCATTTGTAGTACTATGGGGGTGGACAGCAGGGTAAGTGGCTACTCTCGGACGGCTTGTCGGTGCTGGGCTCCCGGTCGGCGAAGTCAAGGCAGCTCGGGTCGGAGAATGATGCGACGCTTTGAGATGCCAATGCGCAGGGTGGGAGCAGACCTCAGAGGGCTTTGACTTCCATATCTTCAGCGCAAGCGGGCAGCCGATAAACAACGCTGGCGCAATGCCAGCTCGGACTGCGTTGCCAACTCGTGCTCGGTAATTGCCTTAGCCCCACCCTCAACTCGTGGCTGCAAGCTCTGCGCGAGCGCTTTCCGCATCCCTTGAACGCTCCTCACACTACTCGCTGTTCCATCTTAGGCTACCCTCAGCAGGGCTACCCTCAGCAGGGCGGATATCCTCAACAAGGAGGCTACCCTCAACAGGGCTACCCCCAGCAGCAACAGGGCGGCTACTACGTGAGTGCCATGCGCGGACCCTTGATCGCCTAGTGCACCTCATCTAATTTTGTTGACCTACCTACCTTGCAGCCACCACCTCCTCAACAAGCGTACGGAGGTCAGCAGCCCGGCTATTACCCTCAAGCTCAGCCTCAGCCAGTAAGTTTTGAGCCGGATGGCAGTACAGAGACTTGACAGCTTCCGAGGCAGCGTCGTGGGTGGCGCATTACAAGAGGGAAAATGCAGGACCGGCTGTGAAAGCTCGTCTCATTTGCGCAGGCGTGGGCCGTCACCTGTGGTCCGGTGGAGTAGGCAGAACAGCGTCGGCCTTGTGCGATTTGGCTTGGAGTGTAAAGATCAGCCATGATTGACTCTCCGGGTCTTCTTTGCAACGTGCAGGTGTACGTTCAGCAGCCTCAGAAGAAGGGAGGAGGAGCCGGAGCCGCGGGAACGGGATGCTGCGCCTGTTTGGGTGAGTGCATCTTGGGTACAACGTCGATGCGACGTTCAGCTAATGACTTTCTGCTGTCACGTCGCATCACTAGCCGGAGCCTGCTTGTGTTGCTGCGCTGAGGAGATGTGCTTGGACTGCATGTTCGTAAGTATCAACCGCAAGTATTAGCGCACATGGAAGGTGACCAATGCTCATATGACTACACCCCTCCTCTCACACCTCAGTAAGACTTGTCCCTCCAAGAGTGCGCGTCAACGCACTCTCGACAAACATCCAAGACTGAAAGTTGCGGTCTCGAGGTCAATCGTGATGGAAGGACATGCGAACTGCTCAGGTTGACAATCGACACTGCCCGCAAAAATTCGTCGAATTTCACGAACCCTATTCTGACCCACCCGCAAATGCCCCACTGTCATCCCCGATACGACCCGCTTCTATTTGTACATGTCAATTCTATCCCCTCTACGACGCTCTCCTTGATCGGTTGCGCTCTCGTCGTCTTGCGCGCGATCACTGTTTAGAGGCGGAACTGCAACGCACAGATCGCCATAGTCACAGGCGCCGCAAAGAGTGCATAAGACGTGCTGTTCAACACGGAAATGCTGAGCGTCTTGCTGACGTGTAGCGGCTCAGCGTCAAAGTTGGCGAGGTAGGTGCTCCTGGCAGGTGGAATGGACTGCTGCAACGGCAAATGTGTGGCTAAGCAGCCTCGGTCTTGACGCGAGGGTGACTGACTACCGTTCTTGTGGAGGAAGCAATTCGCTCCTCTACTGATAGGACGCAGCAGCGGCTACGGTGGTGCCCCCTCTGGCGTCATCTCCAGTCCGAGCCAGACAGCATTCCTAAAGTGTTTGAAACCGCAGCGCTCAAAAAAGCCGATTGCGCCCGCAGTCAACTCGGTATCACCGACCGTAGGAGCAAAGTCGTATGCTCCCTTTCCATTTTTGACGTGCGCTTCTTCGAGGCGTTGCAGCGCACCGCTCCTGGCCAGAGCGTGCATGATGGCCCTGTGAAGCTTTAGACCCATGGCATGAACCAGCAGACGACCTACGCTGCTCTCGGAGTTTGCGAGAGATGCACTTGTGCTGCGCAGACGTCTGTAGGGAGAAGCGACGTGAAGACTTCCGAGGGAGAGCTGGTCGTGCGCATACACCCATCCGGCCGCATTGCCCTTTCGTCGATCTGTAGGATAGGACTCGAGGTTCACCCCTGTGGAATCGTCGGAAGCGTTCGTAGCCTCTAGGGCGTCGCGAATGATGATGGAGAGGTGCTTCCTGCTCTCTACATAGTCGAGCGAGAATGGCAATTTGTTGCTCTTTTGCACCTGTACGCAAGGGTTCAGATGACCAGCAGCCAGTCAGCGAGCGTCGACGTGCAGATCATCGGAGCTGGTACGGGCTGTGCTTCACTCACCAACTTGGTCTCTTTGTCAGAAATGAGGCTGCGCACCGACCAACGACCTCTCTGAATCACCTTGCCTCCTTCGCCTTCCTTTGCTCCTTGTCCTGCAGCCAGCAGCTCGGCATCCGGCTCGACAGAAAGATACACAGAGGCGCACGGATTTGCCCATGGAATGTTCCACCTGCTCGCAAAGGTAGAAGAGATCTTGGGTGCAGTCTCAGACACCGACCTGATAGCCTCGGCATCGTCGTCCTGGGTCTTGTTCGCAGCGCGCAACGCAAGTGTCTCGACATCCACCTGACCCAGCCAAGAGCAAAGCAGATTCGCCCACTCTTGCTCCACAGCGCCTAGCGTGACCCTCCTGCCCTGATCACCCCGCAACACTTGTAGCTTCTCCACTGCTTCTCGTTGCAGGTCCAGTAGCAGAAACTTGACCAGAGGAGCCGAGTCTCGCACTAATTGTGGCCGCATCGCCGAAGGTCTAGCTTCAAACGTCTCATGATTCGCCTCGTACAGCGCAGCTTCGGTCGAGATCCAAATGTGCGTGCTCAAGCTTTGAAAGGTAGGTCGAAAGTAGGTAAAGATGATACCCCAGACGCCTGGAGCAGAGGAAGCATTGCTGTGGTCCTCTTCTTTGGCTCGATCTGATCTGACCTCCGGAGGCACATCCCCCGCAGCGCAGATTGTGCATCGAGGGAACGAGTCCAGAAGCGTCTGCCAAGGATCCGCATCAGCGACCGCATCTTGCTCATGCCGATCAGCAGTCTCGTAGTGAGCTACGAGCTGATTGCGAAAGGCGTGTGAGATGGGAAAGTGCGGTGGCGAGGACAGATGGGTGATCAGAGAGGCGTAGTTGAGCTGCGAGGCTTGGAAGATTGGGAATACTGCTGATGACCCGTTCGACTCATCGCGCACCACCGAGCTGATCATTGTGAATGGAGATGCTGGTTGGTATGGTAGCTTCAAGCACGGATCGACGTAGCTGGGTGGGATTCTGGATGTCAAGCACTCGCCATTCTCGGGTCACCGCGTGAACAGCTGGGCGAAATCCTCGGTCAGTGACTGTACCTGAGCGCTTGGCTGGACACTCCAGATTGCCTGCTATTCCGCGTTTGGTTCACTGATGAGCCTTCTCAAGTGAGTTTGTGGTTGTGCTGGACCATCATGGCAACGCAAGGAGTGCTGCGTCCATGAATCGAAGGGCTGCGCAAGACAATTTCTTTTTGGTCTAGGAAGTGCTAACCTGCCTCGATGGCGCGTGATCCGATATGCAGAGCCTGCGCGGCTTTTGCTGAAGAGGCAGACCGTGGCATGCGCATGCAGCACCGCAAATCGTCATAGCCATGATCGAGTCACAGTGTAGGGAGTCGGGAGTCAAGAGTCACGAATGGCTCGTCTGTGCCCAGAGGACAGGAATCACGAATGAAGCCAGACGGGATGCGAACGAGCAGCGTGCCAGACCGTTGATGCCATCGCTTTGAGAATGCAAGATTCGCTGGTCGCGCACACACAAGTCTTTATTAAATTGGTGGCGATCAAGCGATCACAATCACCAATCAAGAATTGAAGTGTCGAGCTTCAACTCAGACCTTGGCGATGATGCGAGCGATAACAATCCGTGACTATTCGCGCTAGATCATGACCCAAGAGGAGCGACTAGCTCGATCCACCTCGGAGCCTCCCCGTTCCACTTTTGACCTCTCTCACACTTCTTGCAGAGCTCTTTGAGGGCGATACATTCATCAAGATTTAGCATTCGTCGTTGTCAACGTGAGCCAAGACGCACGGAAAGTTGATCCACCAATGGTCTGCCATAGCCGTAAGGGAGGTGCGTCCAAACCCTTTGTCCCTTAGTTGCTTGGTCTGCTTGGGCCTCATCACGCCGTGTGTGGGAGGAGGGAAGGTGGAGCGCACGCGCTGTACTCTCGCAAGTCTGTGACTCAGACTGCCACGTCGGCCGATGAGGCCGACGAGCAAGGCATTTCCAATGCATAGTTGCTTATTGTGCTCGGCATACATGTAATACCTATGCATAAACATGGCTCAGTACAAGTGGCTTACTACCCACCACACCACGCGTACTGTATACGTGTGTAGCGCGCAGAGCAAACGCGGCAAGGGACGCGTCGATACTTTGACTGTGAGCACGCAGGCGTCAGAGCAGTCAGCAGCATGCGCGCGCGCATGCAGCTATTCAGCTGTCTACGTGAAATTGTCGGCAACAAAACGCGGAGATTCTGCCGATTTCGCCGTCGGCACAAGCATCGGAGCGGCGCGTGAGTCATCATGCACACACTCGCACACTCGGACTCGGCCGCATCTGCACACCCGCAAATCCTCTTCCCGCCTCCCCGAATCTCCTCTTGTGGATGTGGATCGGAAAGAAATAGAGGCGATCATGCATCACTATAGGCACAGATCCAAGCTCAGCTTACGGTCCGTTGGCGATAGCGTCGCCAGTTGCGGCATCAGGCTCAGCTCACTTCGCCGGTAAGGGAGCATGATAGCTAAGCAAAGGCGCGCGGGCTTGTCGTTGAAGGAATTGGGCATGCCGAATGCGCGCTTCACATTGTCATTGGCACTCGTTGGCACGAGCGTCATGAACGCCGAGCACCATACGGTGCGACTTGATAGTAATAATGTAAGGATTTGCGTTGCGCGGCACGGCGACTCTCATTTTATATGGGTGAGAAAGAGGAGTTGAAGCGCAATCCTGGGACAGGATTCTCAGGTGGACTTCATCGAGTCTTGCATCCGCTACGGCATCAGCGCTAATGCGGGGTGGTGCCTGTCCGTCCTCGGTAGCGCTTGTTTGGACCGATCACAGCTCTGAGAGATACCGCACACGGCGCGTGCTGCGAGCGCGGATTCAAAATTCTCAGGTCAGCCAGTCAGCCAGTCAGCCAGTACGCAAGGAGGCACACGCCCAAGCTTAGCTGAATGAATCGAGTCACAATTACAAATACACCTCAACGCTCCATCGCAGCAACCATCCTCCCGCTCAGCACGGACTTCAAAGGTCAAATACGGCCGACGCCCACCCCCCCGGTTCACTTCGCAGTCGGATCCTTACCGTCTTCAACGCCATTCGCGCACAAAATGGCAGCAAGTGCTTCTCAATCCCGGGCGCATTCCCCCACCGAGACGCTGGCGGTCACTTCGCCGACTACAGAAATGGCCACCTCCCATGAGAAGGATGGGATCAAGGAACAGCATGCTTGCGAGGCGGACGCAAATGCTGCAGAACTCGCAGCGCAGCAGCAAGAAAGCAAAAAGCATCACTTGGAATCCTCTGAACACAGGATGGTCAAGAACAACTTGTGGCTCGTCATTCCTGGTCTCATGTTGACGGTCTTTCTCGCTGCGCTGGATCAAACTGCACTGTCATCTGCTCTGCCTACCGTAGTGTCTCAAGTCCGGGGCGGAGGACCCAGCTCCTTCACCTGGATCGCAAGCGCATACCTCTTGACCGCCACCTCGCTCATTCCCATGTGGGGAAGGCTGAGCGACATCGTTGGAAGAAGACCTTTGCTGTGGGTGGCCAACTTTTTCTTCCTCTTCGGCTCCATCATGTGCGGGGCTGCTCAAGATATCACTTGGCTTTGCGTTTGTCGCGGTGTCCAAGGTGTGGGCGGCGGTGGCATCATCGCCATGTGCCAAATCATCTTGGGTGACGTGACGCCGTTGGAAAAGCGAGGCGTGTTCCAAGGCGCGTTCGGTGCAGTGTGGTCCGTCGCTTCGGTGCTGGGACCGCTGATCGGTGGTGCACTCGCTGAAAAATCTTCCTGGAGATGGATCTTTTTCATCAACCCAATCATCGCCGCCTTTCCTCTGATCATCATGTGGTTCGCTCTCAAGGTGCCTTTCGTGCAGAAGAAGACTGCGCGTCAGGTATGGGACGAGTTCGACAAGCTCGGCTACGGTCTTTTGCTCGCAGCTGTCATCCTCTTCCTCCTTGGCTTCGTCTACGCGGAAGTGGAAGGCTTCAACTCGAGCAGATCCATAGGTTTCCTAGCCACCGGTGCTGCTCTCTTTCCCATCTTTGTGGGTTACGAGTTCCTCGCCGAGCGCCTCTTTCCCACTTCCAGACCCATCTTCCCGACACGTCTTTTCAAGCTCCGGACTACGACGCTCCTACTGATTGCCGTCGCCATGCACGGCATCGCTTTCTTCAGTTCCACGTACTACATCCCATTCTACTTCCAGGTCAAGGGCAGTTCTCCCATCTTTTCGGCGGTGGAGCAACTGCCTTTCAGCTTGGTCTCTGGCATCATGAGCGTCGTCAGCGGTGTCGTGCTCACCAAGCTTGGGAGATACAAGCCCGTCGCAGTGGTCGGTCTGGGTGTATTCACACTCGGACAAGGTCTCATGATCTTGATCGATGCAGAGCAAAGAAAATCCGTCGTTTTGGCCGTCATCTTCGTCGCTGGCCTTGGTCTCGGATGCTTCTTCCAGACGCCTCTCATCGGCATCATGGCTGCAATGCCTCACGAAGAGATGGCCGCTGCCACTTCGGCCATGGCCATGGTGCGTAGCGCTGCCGGAGCAGTCGGCATCGCAGTCGCAGGCGCCATCTTCAATTCCAAGGTCAAATCTGGGACAGAGGGAATAGAGGGCTACATTGCTCCTGCCGATCCCTCCTCGGACATCCTCAGCATCTCTCATCTTCAACCTCTCGCTCTCAGGAATGCGGTCACTGTGGCGTATTGCGATGCCATTAGACTGATCTTTATCGTTTGCACACCTTTGGTCGGCGTCGCATTCCTGTGCACACTCTTCGTCAAGGAGTACAGCTTGCAACGCAAAGTCGTGCAAGAGAAGAGCAAGGAAGAAGTCATGGCTGCCCAGAGGGAGCTCGATTTGGAAGCTGCAAACGGCGAAAAGTCGGCTGACACGCGGGCCGGAGCCGGTGCTTCGGGTGGCCAGGGCAAAACCACATCGTCTGACAACGGCCACGCCAGCGAAGACGACGCCATCGTCCGCCAAGCTTCTGCCTCAGACTCGGCCGACAGTGCCGAACAACCCAAGCAAAAATCTGCAGAATGATCGTCTTGTCCTCACGCACATGTGGAGTCTTATAGTCTTCGCTTGCACCCTTTCCTCTCCAGTGAGGCTCTCGACAAGACTTGATTAACGTCTCTCCCTCTCTCCACGCACGACCTCGCACGTCTTGGGCACATAGACAAACCGGAATGCATCACGACTTCATCATGTCTCCTGTTCTCATCTCCTCACGACATGATTTGCAATGCTTCATACTCTTCAGCTTGCAATCATCAAAGGTCCCTCGCATTGCGATGTTGGAAGGTCTGCTGTGTCAGGCGTCTCATCGGCCTCATGATTGTTCGACGCGCCGTCTAGAATTGAACATCGTGCGGAGCGGCGGGATGTTTGCCAGCTTGAAGTCCAAAACCACAGGTCATCTGCGCATGAACCCTATCGAGCAGTTGGCACAGCAGCGAGGTCAGACGCATCGACAGCGCCTGGAAATCTGAGTCGAAGAGAGAGCTGGAAGGGCAAATTTGCATCCGTGACGATGAGCTCATCGTCGTGGGACAGCAGCTCTCCCAAAGGCTTTTGAAGGTTCGGTCGTGTGGCCTCTTCGAGCTGTGGTGGCGCTTGAAAGTAGAGAGGACCTTTTGGTCCCGATAAGGATGGTTTCTTGAGTTGCCTGAATGATGTGCCATCATATAGGGGTCCGGGGGTGAGCGTACAGTACTGTGAGCCATACAGTCGAGCGACGACTTACAAGTCTTGTGTCTCCAGCAAGTACTCCAGTATCCGCTCTAAGGGCCAATCCGGCTGCACGTCTACATCTCTAGACTCGCCCCCGCACACCGGACAATCGGGTCGTTTCTCGTGCTCAAACGTGTAGGTATAGACACTCTCGTTGCCGGTATACCTGCGTGATGGAGTGAAGCCTTGAGCGGGTGCCGTTTGGTCATGATCTGCACGCGACCCACATCATGTAATTGTTCAAGTAAGGAGCAGCGGTCGTCGCGAACTTGAAAGCTTCCTGCGTGCATGCGGCTGGCGAAGAACGTAAATGACTTAGCAATGTGAATGCACACCCGCGAAGATTGTGTAGCACACAGCCTTACCTGCGATGATAGCGTTTGTGCTTGCGATCGCCGGAATGATATTCTTGACCACGCCTTGAGTCAAGCTCCACGTGACGCCTTCGATGTTGTGTGCTTTTGCTCGGGTCTGCGCCGTGTCGAGGAGCCACTGGATATGGTCTGGGTCGTCGTTGTCGAGCTTCTTATCTATGAGAGATCATCACACCGTACACGGGCATCTTCAAGGGTCAGCTCGTCAGTAGTCAGCCGACTTGTATGCTTTTCACTCACCGCCAAAGACTCGAGGCCATTCCAGTACGCTAGCCCATTCGATGCAGTGCTCTGGCAAACGAGGAGTGTTGGCGATGGTGCAGATGGGGAACACTGTTTGCCGCGCCAGCATATCTAGACTGCATTCGTAGCAGCTTGTAATTGTGGGCAAGATGACACGTGCTTGACCTTTGAACCCTTCTGTGCCTCCATCTATGAGCGGCTTGAGCGACTCCGGGTTTTCCTCGTCCACCATTGCTACCAGCGTTGCATTTATCCATCGACGAGCCTCCACCTGCGAGTCCCAACAGGGCCAATCTGAGAATAGTGCACGGGCGGGATGGCAGAAGACGCTCGATCCACACTCACCGAGTCCAAGCCGCAGATGATGATGTTGAATTGGAGGTAGAAAGCCTCGTCTTTGTCCTGGATCTTGCCATGGAAAGGCGTCACCTTGACGCCCGGCACTCGACGCTCCACGAATTGTGCCGCCGTCTGTGCTTTGGACCGGCCAACGTCTTTCTCTCTGCAGCAAGAGCGGCACGGAGGTGAGAGTGACGGAGGTGAGACTGCAATGCTGGAGCCGCGAAGCCAACGTGCCTCCCTCTTCACTCACCTGAATAAGAATTGCCTGTTCAGGTTGGACACGTCTATGGTGTCCATGTCGATAACGTGAATGTCCCTAAAGCCAGTCAAGGCAAGATTGTGAAGTATTTCGCATCCCAGACCACCAGCACCGATGACGAGAATCTTGCACTGGTTGCGCAAGAAGTCCTTGACGATATCTCCGGCCTGAAATTGTTCGTCCGTGTAGGGTCCGCTCCGCTCGAGGATCTTGTCGACGTGCGCAGTGCGTGGCAAGGGTGCCGTGGCAGAGGTCGAGGCTACTGCGGTAGCCATCGTTGCGAAGGCGATCTCCAAGGAGATGACGGACGAGACACCAATGAAGATGTTCTTAGAGTGCGGATTTTGGAAGGGCTGATGTCGCGAGACCGACACCTCAAAGACTAGTCACGATCAGTGCAATCGTGAAGAACAGTCAAAGTCAAAGTCATCCCACGCTTGCTGATCCAAGGTCATGGCTGGGAGCGCGCCGCATATATGTGCCGCATCCACCGCGCATGATATCCTGTATGCTGCTGCTGCTGCTGCTGCTGCTGCTTGCCTGCTGATGCTCTGCGTTTGGCGGGGTTGCACGGACCACAGCGCATCAACCGCGGATTCAAACACGCGAGCACTCGTGACTTGCATTCGTGATTTCGCGCTGCGTCGGCGATGCGTTTGATCACCATCATGGTCGAACGGCATCTGCATTTGACTAATCTTTTGTGTACCGAATACTGCGAGCCCTGCATCATTTGTACCTCGAGCATTGAAGTCAGGTCGAGCGGCGCAAACAGCGAGCCAAACGCTGCCCTAGACTCCTGCGCCACAAAATGACACCTCATGCCCAAGTCGGCATGCAATCCACAGAGCCAATTCGACACCACTCGCCAGTCGTAAGCCCAGTCAAGTGGGCAATCAGATCTCAGGCAGAAGCAGCGTTCAGCTATCAGAGCTTGCAGTAATTTCATCTAGGCGAGACTTGGCGGGGCAGAGGTCAAGAAGGGCATGGGTCTCTGAGGCAGCTTTCTCGCAGGCCGTCGTGTCACGTGCACGAGGATACCCATCTTATGTTTTCCATTTCTGATAACTTTCAACGCCTTGACTCTCTTGAACGATGCGCAGGCAGGTGAAGAAGCAAACCTAAAATCCAATCCCTGGGGCACTGCAGCTGTTCGTCTGCGGATCTTGCATATCAGCTGATCGAGCAAGAGGACATGAAGGCACATCATCTCAACCGGATGCAGCAGCTGCCTGCCAAGTCGGAAAGTCGTCGCGGCTGGAATTGGCCGAAGGTCGCCGAGGCCGGAGAATTGCTTTCGCGTCTGCCATCTCAAAGGCGCCATGCCATGCTGACCTCGATCAGCCTGGCTACTCCCAACTCTGACTGACTCAAGACTGCGCCAGTCATCAGCAATCAAGGCTCCCCGCATGCTCCACCTCCCAGTTGCTAGCGCAATTGCGAAGCTGTAAGCTCAGCCTTGCATCTCATCTATCAAGAGTGTTCGATTGTGATTGTCCCACACAGCAGATATCAAGTCGTGAGATTTGCCGTGATCAGCTGCTGTGTTCAAGTTCCGATTCCCCATTCACACGATTCCTGATGTCACGAGAGCACATCGGGAACTTTAGCGGATGACATTCCTGCAGCAGCTAGCCCATGATACAATGGTGGATGCCGAAGCTCAACGACTTAAGCTTCTTTGATTGACCAAATCGTAATTGTGAAAGTAGTCCTAGGCCGATTGCAACCCACGACTGCATGGTGGCCGGAGGTACCTCATTGACAGCAACTGATGAGCCTCTCTCCCTCCGCATTGCCGTTGTGAGCCTCTCTCTCTCCGCATTGCAGAGGCGGACCAGAGTGTTGACATCACGATCGCGAACCCTGTGCCCAGAATTTCGCAACTCGCCATCTCTTGCCAAGGCGCCACCAGTAAGGCGCGACCGCTTGACCTGTCCGAAGCGGTCACCTCGTGAAATGGGCGCCGTTTGGGCCTCCTCGACTGTCGAAGCAGCACCGTGAAGGCTGATGAGTGCTCGGGCTCGGCGCATCAATTACGTGTGATGACGACGATATAGACCGCGGGGCGCACATGATCCACAAGGATACACGGGGTGACATCCAAGACATTCACGATTGACGACATGGTCCGGAGCACGGAATCAAAATCCGCCTGCACGGCGTCTCCAATTCTGCTCCCGCTTTGCTAGGCGTACGAGCGGGAGCTGCTTGCCCCTGCGGCCTGCAAGGTCACGAGCTTTGTGCGCACAGCCATCCGCGTCTGCCAAGCTGTCACGACGACCGCCGGCCGCGGTATCTAGTCGTTGGAGAAGAGCAGAGCAAAGCAGGTCGAAGAAGATGATGATGGAGTCAATCTGAATGAACCAGCAGCAAGGTCGAGTCTGTTCAGTGCTATAGTCAAGAGTAATCATCGCGTAATTCGTTCCTTCATGCGTCCTTGCTCGGCGCGCTTGATAGGCGCGGCGAACGCCCAGGCTGAACTAAATGAGGCTCATTCGCGATTCCCGGCCGTGGTTGTCGAACGGCTGCCGAATAACTTACACGATAGGCATGTGAGAGACATTCATTCACATTCGTGATTCTGATTCAAGATTCCCAAGGCTGCGTGAAGCATTCACGTGATTTGACTGCGAGGCTCTATATAGGGGTGGAAGCCATCGAAGTCTGATGAAGACTCACGAGTGTACCTTCGTTCTGATTTGGTCCGTCATGAACGGGATTTGTCAATCGCCAGAAAAGGCGGTTTGACGATGGAAGTCAAGAGTCGAGAGCTGCCATTCTTCTTGAGCGCTGTGTGGGTCCTTTGCATTCGTGACATGACCACCTGGCGTCTAGCAAAAGCTACAGTCTTGAGTGTATAGGGATATGGATCGGAGTCTGAAGCGGCGAGGATGTGGCTTTCAGCCACCGGCCGTGCGGAAATTCAAATGCATCGCAGCTTGTGATTAGAGCTGCGATGGTTAAACACAGGTCCAGCAGCAAAAAAAAAATGATTCGCGATCGTGAATCGTGCAAACGACTCGCAATGGTGATTTCACATCATGCTGGTGTGCCTGCACAGGTATTGTGCATGCATGGCAAGCCTGATGCCCATCATGTATTCTAAGAGACTTCGCTTGAGTGGACACCTACCTGTGTTGTTTGCTGGAGGATGCCTCGCGTCCCGTTTGCGTGTGAGATGAGTGCAAAGCAGTCGAGCAGAGCTGATGCAAAAAAGGTAAATAAGCTCAGCGCTTGCGTCCAGATTACCTGCGCAACTCGTGATTCGTGACCACTCTCCGCAACCCGTGGCGCTTCTGCTAGAGAAAAGTGCGCTGCGGGCAAACGCACGCAATTGCATGCAGGGTTATGTTGAGTGCCCCTTCTCCGCTGCGTTTGTGCTCTCTTCAGGACTTGCGACTGTGATCGCCAGCCGGACTGGTGGGTCCGCTCTTGGTCATAGCCTAGAGTGTCCGCGCAGGCAGAGGAGCATCAGCATGACAGGGCGCGAGACGGGTCGGAGAGGAGCGGCACACGCACAGACGGGCTGATCCTCCATAGCGCGGAGCTTGCTCAGATTAGCGCAGCGCTTCTGCCTAGATGCTGCTGATTTGACCGCTGAGCACACATCGCGATTCCCATCGTGGTTGATAGAACCGAGAAGTTGAGACTGCTCAGGTGCAGAGAAGCCGTCATCGGATGTTTCTTGAACGAGCGGCTGGGCTGGCGCTCAAGCCTTGCTTGCTTGCTTGCTTGCACGTTACCAGTCGAGGCCAGCATGAGTCTGCGGTTAGTCCCAAGCATGCGC